GTTTTCAACAAGTCTTCTCCACACAGTGAATCATACATCTTATTAATCTAACTCCGGAATTGCATCAGTAGACAGCATCAACAGTTAACCTGGAAACCAGGCCAATCAGCAAGCTCACATTTATTTGCTCTTACAGGCCGTGTCCGTCCCTCCTCCTATTTAGACTGATTTTTATCTCTCCTGGGACAAGTTCAGCCAATCACAATAATTTATATAAGTGGAGGCAGGTTCATATAATTACAGTCAGAGGAGCACTCCTGAAACGTTTTCAGAAACAATCAAGATGGCTGCCTCTGATGTGGAGAGGTCAGTTAAATCTGCTATTGCAACAGTATCAAACAAACGAGCAGTGAATTTTCTCTAAAACAAGAACAAACGATGGCTCAGCGTTTGTTGATAACCTATGTTTCCTTGCTCTTATTGGTTGTAAGTGTATTCAACTGCATCCAGAGGCCTATGTCTGTGATATTAATATAGTGAAACATAATTCCTTGGAGATATTTGGAACAGCTCTCTAAAAAGTTAATTGTTGCGAAACTCGATGTGATCTCATATGAGTTTGAGTTTCGATGAATAAAACTGATGGTGTAAAACAGCCTGTAGCTGTCAAACATACAGTATAAACATTACTTTATCTGTTGAAAAGGTCTGCCTGTAACTGTTGGTGCACTGTACAGAGAAGTGAAACACACTGGTGTGCTGTACTGTCATATGTAGACTGCGCATGTGGCTCCAGTTAATGTGAATGTGAGCCTCTCCGGGAACATCTGTCAAAGATTAGCAGTAAAGTGAAATAGGCAGTTCCTGTTCATACGTTCCAAAATAATCTGGCAGTAATTTTCCCGGTGAAGGATGAAAAAGGGGGAGGGTTTATAGGTCAGAAACACTACACAAACCCAGCTCTGTCTAGGCATGTGTCTTGTGTTTTACAAGATGCAAGTGACAAAAAGGCCCACATTGAATTATGTGTGGACAGGTTGGAAATCATGAAAAAAACTGTCAGACAAAGAGATGTTGATGAAATAAGAGAATAATTCAAGAAAGGCCACATCCGTTCCAACACTGTGACCTTTATTTTTACCTTACATGTCAACATAGCCGACCTCCACCCTCTATACTATCAGGAATAAAAGCACTTATTTCACAAAGCAGGCACACTTTCACCTACAAACACTCTCATTTCAAACATGGCATCCAGCCTGCTGCGACACAAGAGAAAGACCCTCTGACTAAAAGCACCACAATCAATGAAACATGAAGAACCCCTCAGGTACAGAAGATGGATGGCTTGTTATTCTGGGAAGCATGCTGTCATTCAAAGGCCATAGGCATCAGGAGGGTGGGGGAAAGTGCTTGGAAGGCAAATCAGTGTTTGTTAATGATATGGATCAATTGTTTTGAGGACGGCTGGACCTCTGTGCTCATCTCTACCCCTCCTCGGTCACCCTGGATAGAGGTTTTGTATTCCAGAGTGTTGTGCCCTTGCTGATCCTTTCAGATTTGCCACTTTTGCTTTGAGTAATAGAATCCTCTCTTGATGGAAATCTGTTTACACTTTGTTCTGCATGTCAAATAGCTGACACTGCAGGTGGAAGGGAAGTCGCTTCACTATCTGGAGCAATACACTTGCTATATTCCCTCTTCAGCTGCAGCTATACTGTACTGTGTCCTACCGCTCGAATGCAGTATCTAGTTGATATTGATTCCTGAGTACATACTGTATATGTGTTGTGATGCTTTACATCGGCCCTTTGCTCAGTCTGTGTGTGAGAATGCGCTGATACATCTGCATCACTTTCATCAAATAAACTTAAACGAATCGTACTTGCCAACTGAAGTGAGATTGAAAGTCATTTCAAAGTTCATGCTTCTCAAATGTGAGGTGACCGTTGACTTCAGTGCTCTGCACAGTGCTCTGCACCTAACTGACAAATGCTTCAAGCATCCAGCATATTCACGTCTCACAAAAGCGAGATCTGCCAAATTCATCACCTGCGCTCAAAAAAAACATATTTAAAATAATATTTTCAAAGCCGAGGATGTGCATGGGGAGGACGCCACGTGATGACGCTGAAGAATAATGTGAGTCAAAAGGAGATCAAAACAAGGCCTTAATGTATGGTAACTAGACGTCAAATATCGGAATGTCTCTGGGTTTGTAGGGAATGTCAGAAGTCTGGTCCTGAGTGTGTGTGGGAGTGTGATTCAGGCGCAAACACATCAAGATGTCACTTCATAACCTCTGGCTCAGGAGGCTCCTGTCATCTTCACATTTCAGAGATCCTCTGCCTTCCCCGGCAGACATGCTAAATATAGAATGGGGACAGAATTTCTGTTTGGAGCCACCGCTCGCTTCATCTCCATCCAACACTAACATGTGTGCTTGCATGGGCACTGCCATCTCCTCACATAAAGCATGGAGACACACATGCACAGACTCGTGCCCACTGTATTCCCATGATCACTCGCATGGCATTGTCTTGCACAATGATGCTCAAGCACATATAAAGACTCCACCAAATGCAGGGTGCAGGCTTTGGGCTCTCACATAGAGAAGCCACTCATTCTTTTCAATTACATCCCTGTCAAGTGACTTACACTATGTTATTACTTCTTGGGCAGTCATTTTCAAATTCCCTCATTCAGAATCATTTAATCCTGGCACAAGGACAGATAGGCAATCCATCACTGGTCTCCTTCACCTGGCCCAATCTACCGCTGCACTGCGCTGCTACTCTGCTACTTTATTCGACCTTGTTCCGTTTCTTACTTTGTATCGACAGAGTTACCGATGAGGGCTGCGAAAATCTCCGTAGCAATTAATTGTGCTACTTATCTGTAATGTGAACAGTGGATATTACATCTCCAGTAGATATTAAATTAAGGATGTCTCATGACTTGCGAGGCCAAAGCCAAATGAAAAAAAGGAAATGAGACCCTATTATGACTATTGATTTTTTTATAATAAAACAGCCACTTCCTCTCTTTACTTGGCCTCGGTGTTGATCCTGAATTAATACGGGCTATAACTTTAGGAAAATGTCCTCCAGTCTAGCACAGCAGAGCAGCCTAGCCTGAAAAGCTACATATACTGTATTTCCTTGCTCTCTTTCAGCTGACTGGCGGATATTTTGTTCCCCGCATGAGAGATGCATGACCCAGGTTGCAGCTGTACTGGACACTCAGCTTGATATCATTTTGCAGCTGCATGAATTGTCTTATACATTCATATCTTGTGACATGACAGGGGAAGAAGAAACTGCCTCACCATGGCAACAACAAGTCATTTAATACTCATGGCACAGGCTGATGGTTATTTTAAGAAAAATGTCTTTATCTTATTTTAGTGAATAAATTGCTATTGTGCAACTGACAGTTTTCATCGTGTTTCCCTCAACATTATCAGTAAGACACAAGTGCCTAAATAATCGGAACATGACTGATGAGCTAAAGTAAAAAAATGTCCAGTGCTGATTCAGCCCTTTAGTTAAACCAAGGATGAGTGACCGTCACGACTAAGCACGTACTCAGGATCCACCGGCAGACCTATGTAACCCCTACCATAATGTATGCAGGCCCACAGCGCGGGTCAATTTTTCCATCCTCTATACTGCTTATCTTACTCAGGGGTCACAGGGGACTGGAGCCTCTCGCAGAAAGCACTGGGCCAAGGGAAAGGTCACCACAATGTGGACGGAACTGAATAATGGGGAGCCGAGGATAACAAACTCTTTAGGCGTTCACGTCTACATCACAGGCCACATGGAGCATGAGCGGGCAACATCAGTTGTATGTCTAAACTAATCAAATGAAAAATTAAACACAACTGAACTGCCGGTGTCTAGATTTCTCCTCTGCACTGCGATACGGACGGCCAGCAGATTAGAGCACGACTTCTGGACTCGATCCAGTGGGGAAGAGCTGCCAGGTCTTTGTTGCACTATCCCTCATATGGCCAAAGCTTCATACTAAGCAGCCCCATTCACTGACAATTAAGTGTTCACTCCCTTTTTGAAAAACTCCCTTTTACCCAGTTACACCCAACTAAAGGAATTTGAGATTTTTTTTCACTGCAGATGAGGAGACAGCGGTGGGGAGTGTGAAACCTCTTACTGGAAGTCGTTTTTACACACTGTCTCCAAGTACAGCAACTTCCAGTCAGTGTATTCACAGAGGAATTAAACAAGCCTCCATTTAACTCTGTACCTGGTACTTCCAGGCTCCACTATTTACAGCCGTGTTTGAATTAGTACAATTAATGCAGTATATCTACATAGATAAAATAAGCTTATCTTTTATTCTTCATTATGACATAAAACATACATTTTGCAGCTCAATTTAAACTAGAAATTCACAAAAAAGTCTGAACATTATATTCAGAGAATTTTAAACTGGGCCAAACAATAAGAAAGGCAGATGAAAAACATCTGACCCTGCAGGATGGTTTCTATCAATGCTCTCCTCCTCTCCAAATGATTTGCCTGTGCCAGAAAATCGCAAACAGCTTCTTGTTTATCTGCAGCAGACCTGCCTTTGCAGAACCATTGTCATTCCATGCACATGTATGTACAGTGGTGGGTACATGTGGAGAGCAGATTCTAAGGGAGGGGTCAGATGAACTTTTTATCCTTTCCTATTTTTTCCACCTTTGTTGAGAGCAAGTAGAGCAGCCCATGGGTTGGAAAGCAGCGTCAACTTGAGCCATTTCTATTTCTCAAATATATGTAAATAGCAATTATTTTTTTAACACATGCCGGTTATAAAATGTCGAGTTAAATAAAGGAAAAAATAAATATATTCTGACATCATCAGAGATATGGGCTGGAAACATCAGCCAGATGTGCTGTTGAGGACAATGAAATGAATCCAAAAGAAAATAAGGAATATACATAGAATAACCGCAGCAGTGTCCACGTCCTCAGACACAAATGACAGACAGAAACACGCTCCACTGCTTTTTAAAAAGAATAACCCGTTAACGAATCTTTGAAGGGACTTACCCAGAAACAAAGAGCGAAATATTGCAGACATCGCGGCTGGAAATCCCATACGCATCGGAGGTGGAAACAATGCGCTCAGACTGCCTCCAGACGCATTCGCCTGACCTTAAGTGCGGGCGCGTTAACGCAGCGGCACCGTCAGCGTAACGAGGAGCGAAATCACGAACAAATCAATCTTCTTCGTTGAACGCACAAGTCCAAGGGCATCATATGTGTTGCACGCGCCCGACATGGTCTTAAGCCTCCCGGTGCGAAGAAGCGCGGCTCTCTCTCTCCGTCATGTTCGTCGCGGGCTTTGCCACTTGGCGTCAAATCAAAGTTCCCCGGCTTGTCTGGCTCTGGCGTGGGACGTGTTGTCTCCGGGTCCCCTCCGTCTCCTGCACTCAGCAGCCTCTCCTCCTTTCCTCCTCCGCTGCACAAAATGCCAGAGAGGAGGAGGAGGAGGGCGGATAGGTGGATGATGAGGGGATGCTGAAGGATGGAGACCTCTAGAGTCTGAAGTTCTCTTGCACAGCCACAGCATCCTGCTACAAACACTGTGTTAAGAGCTGGTGTGGGTCATCATGAGAGGTGGAAGATTATCTCCTGGATATGAATGGAATTGACCGTTTTTAAGGAAAATTAGGTTATAAAGAAACCATATCATTTTATAGTTGTAGGGATTAAAGTGAAACAGGTCTTTGGGACATATACTCCTTTAATACTGAAGCGATATTTAAATACATTACATCTGGAGAGGGTCCTCTCTACAGAGGCCAAACTGGACAAACACCAACATTTTTTGAGTTTTTATGACAACTGAAGTCTACCACAGGTTCTCTTTCATGTTTGGAAGGGGAGGGTGAGGTGATGGGCATTCAACTGCAACTTGCAACTTCACCACTAGATGTCACTAAATTCTACACGCTGCAACTTTAAATCTTATTCTGATGTTATTATTTCAACAGTACTATTTAAAAGTATTTGAAGCATCTGAAGCAAGATGCTGCTAAATCAAGTCACAACGCAACATGTATTGCAAGGTAATGCAAAATTATTCCTAGGGTATGCAAAAAGTATTGCATGGGAACACAATAGTAATCCTCTAAATATACAGGGTTTCTGTGTCTCATGTCATCAAAACCTGAATATCTTTGAGATTTGGAGAAAAAATAGTAATGATGTAATATTTACTAAATTCACTATTTTCTGACCTTTAACAGAACAAACTGCTCACATACATTATTTAAAACAAAAACAAATCTATTAGTTATTTTCAACCCAAAAAATTAGAAGTAGTGTTTTAGGTTTTTTTTGGTATGAAATTGGAAGGTCAGGTTAATTACATATGATATTACAAGAAGAAAAAAGCTATATAAATGCATGTTTGGGGGGTGTGGGTCATCGTGGGAGGTCTAAGTTATCAGATCTCTTTGATATACATGAAAAATATGTCTTTGAGGGGAAAAATATGTTATGAAGAAACCTAAACATTTTATATAGGGTTCGCAGTGAATAAGTGTTTGGGACTTGATAAGCTTAAGTGAAAAATTGCATTTTAAAACTCAAATCTAATTATAAAATACATTTTTTGTGTAAGTGATATCTTAAGAGACGTTTTAAAGCACTGAAACATCATTTTTTTGAATCATGACACAAAACTCTATTTGCTGAGGTTAAAACAATTAGTCACCTAGTAATTAATCGATAAATTAGAGAGAAAACCTCCCTTATTCCACATACCAATATTTAATCGAACCTGAATATCTTTGGAATATGAAGATTTCATGGTTGCACAAAAACAGACAATACGATCACTTGGGGCTTTAGTCAGAGTAAATGCAACTATTTGTAATTTTCCACTATTTTCTGATGTTTAATAAACTAAGCAGATATATTATTTCTTGATTAATGCATCAAAACAGTCAGATTAATCAATAATGATTTCACTTGTTATTTACAGCCCTATAGATTTATTTATTTATTTATTCTAATACCATTTGGAAGGTTGGGTGAACTGGATATGACTTAATAAGAATATGAAGTTAAAAAGCATGATACATTTTCTTGGCTACTTATACTTCCCAGCCTCTGATGACACTTGTAATCAAAGACATTTTTTTTTCTATTTGTCCAGCAGTTTCTCAATCTAAGGATTATTCCATCAATCTTTTAAAAACCGCCACACCAGATTTGTCCCTAAACCAACAAACACAGGGAGTGGTGCTATGTGCTGATGGCTGCTTTGATTACTCCCCCTCAAAAGAAATGAATAAAAAAAATAAAAGGTTCTCACTGGCCACTGGCCCCTCTTCTCTTTCTTCCCCCCTCAAGTGGCCTGCTCTTCAGCACCAGCCCTCGTCCATTCCTTTCCATTCCAATAACTAGTTCCCTCGAAACAATGCCTCTCATACCAAAGCAAGCGTGCGCACACATTCTTTCCCGGTATTTCTCTTCATCTTTCACTAATACAAACACAGATGCACAAAAACATACGTGTTCACTGTGAACAGCTGGTGAGACACGTGATTCCAGATGTTGAAAGAGGCAGATGAAGTGGTGTCTTTCATCTGGTGTGATCTGGCTTTTACACAAAATATTTGGCATCTCTTGTTCACTTTATTTCTTGTTCACTGCATTTCCACCATAATATAAAACGTGAGTGGTCTGGTGAGTAACACAGTAAGCACAACATGCAAAAACTACTCTTAACTGTTGCAATATCATCTGTCAGATGAAGATGGACGGCTGCTTATAACGGACGTGTTCACCCCTGCAATCACAACAGTCCAGATAAAAACACCTGATTGGAAAAAAATCGCCCGATAGTCCACACACATTACATCTGTGTGAACATTTTCCTCCCTGAAGCCGAGCGTTTTCATCAGAAAGATGCGATCTGGTTGCAGCGACACAACACATTATACAACACTGAGGTTATCATGATTGCTCCTTTAAAAGATGACCTCACTTATGTGTAAACGTATGACAACACCACTTGAGAAACGAGGGCACATGCATTCTTGATAGCGGTGATTTTACGATAACTCACTTTGTCTCATGTTGCAGTTTTGATGCCACTGGAGGCGACCGGTCTGTGTTTGGTGGTGGCTTGGCCTCGGTGCATGATATAGCACCACAATGCAGATGGCCTCACAGATGGTTGATATTTATACCGTGGGGCCTTGACAAGTCACTTGTGTGGAAACTGCTCTTTCTCACTGAGTTTCACATCAGCCAGAGCACAGCCATCTCCTAACACCCATTTCTCACTGCACTAAAAACCAAAAAAGACAAAAGGAGAAATGTTCTGATTATCAATGTTCTCCTTTTTGAGGTAACAATGATAAAGATGATGATGATGATGATGATGATGAGTTGGGACCCCCACCCCCTCGTTTTCTTTTTTCGCACATGAAAATGTAATCCTCCTAAGTGCAAGGTCCATGATTTTTTTAAAATCTTCCAGACTCAACACGGCTTGCATCTTAGCTGGGAGTACTCTTGACTTATGTACTTTAAGTGGATTTGCAATTTAAATTGGAGCAACAAGATGCACCTCGGACCTCCTGGCAGAGACGGAGCACTTCAGCGAGAGTGTCCCCATCCACCAGAACAGCTGTATCCCCCACATAATGACATCACAGGGATGTGTTAGTGTTTTGTTGAAGCACGGACGACACCCCTGCAAACACACACGTGCGCGCCGGGATGCCGGGCTTTGGCCACCTTTCTCTCTTGACCTCAGGGAATGAGAGAAGTGGGTAGTTAAAAGGATTCTTGAGTAACAATATGGATGTGGAAGAGAAGGGAAAAAAACTCCTTTGTTTAGGCCGCTCTATTTTTAGCGACCTATGTGATGCTTCACCGTTAGTGTTTCACGGCTCACGGATCCTTTATAATTTAATGAGGGAGAGGGGTGGCCCTCTGAGATTTATGGTGAGCGTCTTAAGGCGGCATTGGCCACTCGGATTATTGATCCAAATCGGACATTTGTTTATGCCCCAGTAAAGCTCTTTTCCTCCTGTGCCACCGACCGACCCCACGTCGGGAGCATTTAAATCATCAGCTTCTTCTTAAGCCAATAAAATAAATGTACTCATGTTGATTATTTTAGTTCCCTCAGTTGTGTACAGTGTAGAGACCACAACCATGGATATAAAGAGTCTATAAGACCTATAATATTTCCTTTTCACATGTTATTTGCATAATATTACATTCATTGAGACACAAGTTTATAATTCAACAGAATAAATGAGGCTATAAGAGCAACAACCAATTTATATTGTAATTTAAATAATTATTTCTTGATATTCATATTCCACAGTCACTTTGATGATGAAATGTTTATATGAGAAGATCTTGTTACAAATTTAAAAAAAAGTACGTGTCCTTGTCATTCCCCATTTCACACCACTTCTAGTTCCACACTCCTGAGCACACTCGTCTCCTTGTACTGTAAAGCCCAGTGAGTTCAAAAGTGGATGTTCTTCCTCAATTTATTTATGAAGCCTTTCATGGGGGAACACGAAGCAGAGGAGGACGGAGCTTAAAAACATGTTATCATGCTCTAATTAAAGGCGAGGCAGACGACTAAATCGCATCCGGGAACCCAACGAGCTGAAAGACAATTTTATTCCACATCCGTAACTGTTGGCCTGCAGAGGAAAATGAATGTGCTGAATGGGAATGATTGAATGAACGAGTGAATGAATGAATGAATTCATCAAGCGAAGTGAGAGTAATAAAGCACACATGAGGGAGTCATTTGGAAAAAAGAAAAAAAAATGGAAAGAGTGATGGTTGTTTATTTTAAACCATATAACTGACTCTGGGAAAAGGTAATAATGCTCCAATCCAGGATAAACAGATCAATCACATCTGAATATAATTTCCACCGTACAGCTCACTACATTAGAACACTGGCATTTTCCACACTGGCAGATACTGGAAAACGCTGCATCCTGCCTGTCACTAGAAACCATAGGAAAAGAAAAATCTCATAAATGTTTAATTAGAGGAGGTTGTTCGGTCTATTTCGACATGTTTTTCCATTAGTGAGAAGGTATAAAAGATCACACCATCACCATTGAGATTTAACCTGAGAGCTGGAATGCTGGCATTTCATTTGAGTCCATTTCATTTGTACCAATTTAAAACTGCACTTAATCACATTTATGACCTCTTTAACATCAGAGCACATCTTCTCTGAAGCAAAAAAGCCTATTTTAGTAAAACATACTGGTTGTAAACTAATTTGTGTATTATTACTAACAACAAGAATACAACCTGATTATAAATTCAATCTGCTGTGACTCGCTTTGCTCCCGAAAGCACATTTACTGTTCTTTTATAGCTATTATTTCATGAAAGCATGTTGTGGCTGACAAATAAGGTCATATA